TTTGATATATTTAATTTATTGCAGAGAATAACGAAGACAACATGAGTGAACGAATTGAATGTTTAGTTAATTTATATAATGCGTGAGATGCACGTGAAGGGATGAGGAATTAATGGAAGAGAAGGGAAATGGTAGAACGTTGCGACCCTCGCCCTCTGCGTCCTCCGTAAATCAATCTTCCTATACATGTCATTATCAAATTTTAGGATATTTTCTCGGAAGACATTCCTCTGTACGTTGCTTCGATGTATTATCGTACATGTAGAAGCGTTTGAACATGATAAAACGTGTGTTTTTTGTGTCGACCTGAATACTAAGAAACATATGAAACACCATGTACATTTTAGAAGTTACAAAAAACGAAAAAGAGTTGGCTCTTAGAAGCGTAGAATCAAATGGAGAAAATGTGCGACAGAAACGAACAAATCGAACGGATACAGTGACCTTCGAAATGGGTTCGAACCACGAACGAAGTTTAGTCTTAGTCTATTTAGTGTTTACAAGGAAGAAGAAAAAAAAATACAAAAAGAAAGAATAAAATAAAATGGAACAGTTTTTGATCTACGAAACTTCTTAGAGGTTAATTTGAACACACGTCAATGAAACTGGTGGTTTTTTGATAGTTCCAGAAAAAGGAAAAGAAATCGGCGAGATTTTTCATACGAAGTGGAATTAATCACTTCGGGGAATATGAGTCTTATTACACTGGCATTGTTACGACCATTGTTAAACCGTATATGCATAAGAGAAGTCCGGTCGAGCACCGGATTTACTTTTCTTCGAATTCTGCCACGAACCTCGCGAGCCGGGTTTTGTCACGAAAAAAAACGATTTCACGGCGAGAGATTTTTTCGTTTGATCGACATACGTCGAATCGCGTGCATTGTAATAGGATTTCGGCTTCGTTTTGGTCAAATTACGCTGAAGCTGCTGTCAAGCGAGAACGCGCGGTCTTGTAACGAGATAGCGTGGCTGAGATTGGTGATACTTAATTCAATCAATCGCCAACGATCGATTGATCATTGTATTCAACCCACACCCCCCCAAAAAAAAGAAACATAAAGAAGGAAAAATAAAAAAAATTGGCTCTTTATGTAACAAGTCTCGTTCTTATTGTAGCGAATTTTTTTATTTTCACCATTGATAAAACTTATAAGGCGTGAATATTAAAAATCGTTCCGCAATCTTTATCATTGTTTCTTGCATGGAACTTGACCAATAGCGACTCATCGTCGTATCAGTATTATACCATGTACTCTGAATCAAGGTGTATTAAATACAATACAAGCGATAATTTTGTACGATCGAGAATCTCAATTAATGTACGATATTCATTTTTATCCACATGACGTGCATTAGACGTTGACCGGATGTGTTATTCGTTTCGTGTAGAATTATATGGTTCTTGATATCGTGAGTGGATGTACTCACCGATCTATGTTAAACGATGTTCTCTAGAAACGTGATCGAGATTAATAAAAATTTGATCGAGGACCGCGCGTTATCTTTCTTTCGGAGATTGCATTTTAATATCGTTGAGAATCGATTACGAGCATTTGTATTGAATAGATGTTAACCGTCGTTGATTAAATCGAAACACGGTTTTAATTCAAGGGTCACTCGAAAGAAAGCAATGAGTACCACTGTCCTAGATATACTTCTCTATATAGTGCATTGTACATGACGATCTTCGAAAGGCAATACGTAAGTACCGTATAATTGCATTTGAATCAGGCATCGTGTTGAGTTCAGACGTTCGTGAAATTTATTGGCATTTGACACAAAGGTATTGTGGACATATTTTGCTTCGTAGAGTCGTGAATTTATTAGAATTCTAGGAAAATTCATTTCAAATAGAATCGAGCAAGTATGAACGAGCTGCTTTTTTTTTGCTTCTCGACGTTCACGTTTCATTCTTCCAAGTTATTGAAGTCAAATATTTGTGCATAACTTTCATGGAACAGGCGAATAATTGACTATATGCACTTAGTTTCAAGATGCATAAACATGACTTAATCCGGTGGGTACATGTGTACTATAACGTCGATGCCAGTTTCTAAGTGCAATCACGAAAACCAAGAATCCCTTTCGGAAGGTCATGACATCACGGGACTCGGGTAATCCTCTGAAATTCCCTCCTCCTCCTCCTTGACCCCTCACTCGAAACCTAATCCACAAACCTACGAATACTAGATTAGCTTCTTTCGTTATTTCTGCTTTGAAAAATATGTTAAAAAGAAATGAAAACAGTTCGATCAATCGATAAAATCGAATAGACGTAGATCGTGATATATTTAATACCCTTAAACAATATATATATTACGTTCCATTTGCTTTTAACTGAAATTCGCTTGAATAAATAACGTTGAAAATTGCTTTCGATAAAGATAATCTGAACGCACCCTACAAAGGGATACGACTTGTCTATGGATGTGTAAGCATATATACATGTTGTACGCATGCAATAGAAGGTTCTAGCGTGTAGTGGTAGATATACAGTTACTAGCGAGCACGCATGCACGTACTAGAAGAGGTTAGAATCAACGACGCCAGTGCGTGAGCACTCGTTCGTGTATCAAGCATGTGTAGGATGGTACGGAGGGAGTGCGCATGCGCATAACCAGCTGGCGCCTTGACCGGCTGAATAGTCGATGCTGAAACTTCGTGCTGCGAGTGTCTGTGTTTCTTCCTCCTTTGCGTCCCGTCGTCCGTGAATTCGTACGCGAATTATATCCGCCTACATACACGTACATATACCCGGGATATAGAATAGGCGGAGAGGCTCGTTTATGTACGATCGTCGTGAACAGGTGGACACCGAGGTCGCTCGCTTTGCTGCGCGAAACGAGGTTAGTTGACTTCGAATCGAATTTCGGGCAACGTCGCTTCGCAGGGGAACGACATTGCGTTTGAATATTCGTTGTGAACTGCGACCCTTGTGTTTTACTGTGCCATGTGTGAAAGTAAATATACTCTTATAAAGACAAAGATAACTTGTGCATTACGTTCGACTGTCATTTATCCCGTCTAATATTTCCACGCAATATATCGGACGAAAATAGTATCGCGTGTTCAGAGCTTATTCGAGTTCCTTGAGAGTCCATTAATACAGTTTCGTCATCCGAATAGGCTTTCGTAAGAAAAATTTCGTACTGTGAAATTTGAAAAGCGTGTTTATACGGCGGCAAATGGAAACCGGATATCGATGTGAAACAATTTGAACATTGACAGATTGTTCAAGCAAACATTATTCCCTATGTTTAATCGTGGTTTCAATAAACAGCGAATTTTTCGTCGATTCAGTTGTTTTTGTCTTTCGTCCAGTATTAACGGGGGTAACTTATCGAATTGAATAAAAGTGCTATCGCGAGCAGGATCGATAAGGATCGATTATACAACGATATAATATCACGGAATTCGATTAATCGCGAAAGTTATTGTGCATTGCTGCATACACGGTATTTAGAACGTCAGTTAACCGAGGACGGAAACGTTACGGTAATATAATACGCTGTTAATTAATTATATCCAATGGAGAATCGAAGGAAACGACATTGGCCGAGAAATGGGAGGACAATTGTCGTACATAAATTTTACATGGAATATCGACTGTTGATTCGACGTTCATACGCATTAAATTCCTGTAATTATCGTGAAATACACAATCGTTGAAATATTATATTATTTTAAATTGTTATTTTACTTTGTAATTCGCTTATTCATTTGAATAATAACGCTGTTTGGATATATTTCAACTACAATCGAGAATTATCTGCTTTTGAAATTTCGATCCTTAACGAATTTTCGTCGCGAACGTACCACGCGATATATCGATGCGTTGTACATACATTTCGATAACGTTCGTCTGTTGACATAAAGGCGCTCGAAGAATTGTGATTTTTTCAAAAGAAACTTGTGGTGGTATACCGCGTGTTCGAGTTTTACTCGACGATAGATAGATCGTTGTTATTGCCGCGATGCAGAAATTTTGCACGTGCTGCTCTTTAGTGTGCTGTTACATTCTTATTGTTAGAGACGTGTGTGCGCGCGCCCGCTAAAAGCTGGAGCACATCAGATATCGTGCCAAAGTTAACAATATCGATCGTTCGACTTTTACAATTCACATAGGCGCCATATTGATTTCTCCAACAGATGCATGCCTATATAAGAATTTTTAAATAGATACCTCGAAAACGTCGAAGAATGGATCGTTTTCAACGTAAAAGAAAAACAAATTGTCGCCCGACTTATTCCTTTCAAAGCTAAACACAAGCACATCACACGTTCGGTACTTCATTTTTCTCGCAGTTGTTACTTACGGTTATTCGGTAAACACGTGAAGCATGGCACGGGAGCACCTAATTAGTTTCATTTCAACGTATCCCCGTTCTGCATTAGAAGCAAGTACATTAACCGGCGCGTTATTTTGTTCCTTTGCAGCCACGAATCCGATAATCGAATTCTAGCGGCGGACCAAAAGACGTTCACCTCAGGGTGGGAGAGACGGAGGGAGAAGGCAAAGGGGATCGAACGAATTCGTTTCGTCCCTCTTGCGGCCATCCTCCAATCAGCTTCGTCTCTGTTACACATCAACAACCCACTCTACACTTCCTCTCTACCACCTTTGGAAGCTTCGTTCCTCTTCCACCACCGTTGTTTCTCTCGCCCAGCCAACGATATTCGTCGCCTGGAGAAACTGGAACAACCGTTCACCCATAAGCAGACTGGTGTGTCTAGGGACCTTGCCAGCTCGTCCTTGTAACCGAAACATGTGCCAGCCACGCTTTTGAGCCACGCGTCCACCGCTATCATCCCTTGCTATCAACGGTCAAAGACAGCTACACGAGGGAAGAGATTGTTTTCTTCCTGTCGAAGAAGCTATTTTTTTCACGCGTCTAAATCAATACAATGGAGTTAGTTGAATCGGTGAAACGATAAATTTGATTAAATTTTTCTTCAAAGGTAGAAGAATCCTTGGTTGAGGAGAGAAACGAGCTTGAGGAGCGAACGAATGCGCAGAGGGATAGCAGCAGAGCAGGAGGATGCAAGGCTGGCAGCTTTGGACATGGGATAGATGATAGATCGCGAACGATGGGGTGGTAGAACGAAGAGGAAACGCAAAATGGATTGGCTGCCTTGGCTTAGGTAGCCAGAGACGACGAAGTCGAGGCCGCCAGGGCGAACGAGCCCCGAGCTGCCATAGCAAAGTTTATTCCTCTCTCTCGTCGAGAGAACGGATCTTCTCTCTCTCTTTCTCTCTCTGCTCTGCTCTGTCTCGAGGAACAAGGAGAGAATATTTCTCCACGTCATTGGTGAACGTGTACCTTCTATCAAAGACTGCTTACTCCTTCTGTTGCCGTCTGGTGATCGTGTAAAAGACTGAATCGCGTTAATCGATAACGAACAAACGAGGAATTAGTCTTGCGAGCTTTATCGTCGTTGCAACAGTTACTCAGGAAGGATCTGATTAATCCACGGAGGAGATTCTACAGGTGGATCAGTTGTAAGAAGAGGAGAAAGATACAAATTTGAATTCTTGTGATTTTCTGTTACGGAAAATTGCTAGATTCTGACACACGAAAAGACTGAATTCTGTTGATATATATATTCATTGATAAAAGAAAGAACGAAAAACGTCGCAAATCGCGGTTCTTTTAGAATTACTGGCTTTCATATTCGTTCGTATCCTATGTACCTACATATCTATCCGGGATCTCACGTAATTGTCACACGCAGCCTGTCATACAACAGCTATACGAGCTTTTCAGAAACTTCCGTGGAGCATATTATACATATATATATATATATACACACACACTCACACACAGAAAAGCGGCGAATTCGTTTTTCGCATTTCCGACTATTATACATATTGCAAATATATATAAGAAATATATACACATATTTAGAAAAAAGAATATATATATATATGTATGTATGTATCTATATGTATATGTAAAAAAGAACTCTTCCGCTGCCTAATAAAAAGTGTCGCGTACGATACGGTAAAAAAAAATCTCACCTTTGGAACGATTATACGGAACCGTATTGATGTATCTAATCCTTCTTTCTATGAAAAGAATTTCTTCGAGTTAAAGAGAGACTACATTCAGCTTTTAAGAAAAAAACAGATCTTTGTTCGTCCTCCATTTCGCCAAATAAAACTGATACTCGTATCGAGGATATTATTAACGACGTGCAACGAAAATTAGATAAAGAAAAAAGAAAGTACTGAAAGTCAGTGAGAAGTGAAGTTGAAAGTGTGATTAGTCTGCGCGGGTCCGTAATAGAGCAGGATGGGTTGTGGACAGAGTAAAATCGGCAACATCTATCCGAAGAACAAGAAGAATAAAAACAACAGCGGCAAGAAAAACGGTGATTCTGTCGGTGAGTTGATAATTATCAATAACTATTTCCCATTTTTTCAGCATTAAAAATCATTTCTTTTTTTTTTAATTCTCCTCTTCGTATTTGCAAAGTTTCATTTCGTTCGTGAACGATTATCGTTAATCGCGAACTGTACGTTTGTTCACGTGGTGTAAATATGTAATAGCCGGTTCGACGAGCTGACAAACGTGAGAGAGATCGGCATTGTCGGTGTAATTAACGTCGTTGCTCATCAATCTAGGTCTACCGCATAATTGTTGACCCGATCGGTGTAATTAAACAGATGCGTCTCAATCTAGGCCATCGACACCCATAGCGAGAGCTCCTTTCCGATGAAAGGTGATTGAACAGTCGTTTGAATTACGTCGTTGCGTTTATTTCGCGCGCAATCCTTTCGTTTACGGGAAGTTAGTCGAAGTTACGCGTAACGGCGTATAGATTAATTAAATCGAATTTCATTTTTATTCTTATACCACCGAGCATTAGTTTCAATTGAAAACAACGAGGCGTACAGAGGTCGAAAAAAGTTGTCACGACTCGATTAACCTATCGAACAATGTCACTCAAGGTCAGGGACATACTGACATAACCTCAAAGCTGCGTCTTGTCGTGAAGTTCAAGGTTAGACGTTTACGCGTCAACCGTGAAAAAAACATAGATACGAACTTCAGTTTTATGATTGCGTAACAAAAGAGGTGAAAAACAAAGGGGATTCCATTAGGAGAGTTATTATGTATTTCCTTTGATGTGTTCGCGATCTTATCGTTAGATTAATTATCCTAGGCTAGGAACATTTTTCCGAAAATAGAGGTTTTGGTTTCACCAATTTTTTTCTTTTTTTAATGTTTCTAAACATGAAGGTGATTTCCATCGATGTACGTGTGAGAATCGAAAATTAGCTCCTGGCGTGTCTCCAGTTGGAAATTACGTTCCAAAACAGGTGGAATATAAGTACAAATGGAATAGACATTCATATTTAGATTTCGCGGGATCCGTCTCGAGGCTGAACGTTAAGTCGCAATTCTCGTTGTATAATTACCGTGCTAGCTGTTTCTCGAGCTAGTGTTTGTCTTGTAAACGTTACGCATCGAGGCTCTGTTCGCGAGATTCGTATCTGCGTATATGCATGTGCGTTTGAATAGTTAACTAACGACACTTGGAACATTAAATCTCTGTGTGCTAGATGTAGTAAATACTTCTACCATTAAATCTGTCTTCTGGTTGATGCTATTATCTTTACGTCATTCGGTTTAATAGACAATCATTGACTCATTGTTAGAAAAGGTGCATATGTATATTTCTCTTTTTTCGAAATTTCCTGTTTTCCTAAAACACATAACCTCTTAATGACGACGCTTCCGGACAAGAAGATATTATCGTCGGGGATTTTTTTACCTCTTTTTCATCATGTTTCGTATTATTCAGAAATTTGTTAAGAAAATTTACGGAAATTCCTCGATAATCGTATGATTCATCGATACTTCGTTATTCCTGTTAATGTTCGATGAATATTGATTGCGCGCGCATTCGCCAACAATGGCGCAATAACGAAAAATCGCAGATAAGACGCTCCATCGAACTCGTTATCGTGGAATTTTATGTTAGAATTCTAATAAGAGTTCAGTAGAGCGACAGAACGAGTACACCGCGTGCGTGGCCACGCACACGTACGCACGCGTGCGGCAACGATCGATTTCGTTCTTAACGTGCATCACTTGAGGTAGATTAGGCTCTAGGTTAGGTCATGTAAAAGGGGAGCGTAACCTTCCGAACGGTAAATTGACATTCACCAACCCTAGTCTAGTGTTGTTCACACGTCAGTTGTTTTATCCGTTGAAAACTAGCTGATAAGGCACCGGATGTATTTTGTTCCGGCAACGACACACTTTTCATTCATTTAGTCAAAATTTAGTTTCCCTTCATGTTTCTTCAATGCTAGAATGGATATCTTGTGAATGTTGATAATCGAGCATTCACACAACGGACTGTCTATTTCGAGCTATGTTTGTCGTCCTAATTTCACTAGCAATAAATTATCAACGACGATTAAACGAAGATAGATTTTCTAATTTGTGGTGTCACGCGACCCAGATTCGCGGATTCGAACGACTCTCGTGCTTTTGCTTTCGTTGAATGAATTAAATCTTGATATATTTATTTTTCTTCTTTAACTGATTTGTTAATCACGATTGTAAAAGGTAACGCGTAATGTTGTTGTAATGTGAAAAAAGAAAGGAAAACAAATCAACGTAGCACGAGTCTTGAAATCGCATGTCGGATCGTGGTTTGTTGTTTACCGGCTTCGACGTCTGCGAGCTAAATATACCACGCGATAATTCTGATATTTATATCATTACGTTGGCTTCGCTCACGGTACTTTGAAAACAGTGTAGTCTAATTCGTGCATACATCAAGATTATGTATTCCCGATTATCTATTCGAACGATTACTTAAATAATAGTTGAATAACATTTGACTCAATTATTTATCGTTCGTGTAACCCTGAGAGTGTATATACACTTGTTTGTTGACTAGGCATAAAATTGCGCTGAAATCTATCCGTTATGTCATAAGAGCGCTAAAAATAAAGATCAATATGCTCCATTGAACATATATACTTTTTCTCGATCGCACTTTGTATGGAATATTTTGTGAAGATACAAGCAGATGCATATTCGTTAATATTACGATGTTTATTCGCATCTTATCGTCTGTTGTGGCAAACTCGTTATGCCAAGGAAAATGCATTAATACTTTTGTCATTGTTATTTACAGAATCATAAATAAGTTGAAGAATATATAGAGCTGTATATACACATACTGCTAAAATTCGTTATCTATGTAGATATTATCTATCATATCTTTAAATATGCATATGTACGCATAAACACATGAAATGCATTTGAAAGACATTACAGGATTTGTTAAATGTTTAATTAAACGTCGATTTGTTTGCATCGTTAAATTTGTGATATCATATTTCGCGGTAGTGCAATTTTCAATTTTCCACTAACCGCAAACGGTTGCGCGCGCACTTGGTTGCCAGAGTTTATACAGCGTTGCCATCGTTTGAGCGGGAGCATGTGCCGCGAAACGGTCAAAGTGCTTGCCGTGCATGCGAACGTTGGATACGTGTGTTCATATCTCTCGGAGTGAGTCGCGTGCCTGCATTCGACTCCCATAACGTTCGGCCGGCGCTTCGTCAAAATATACGCCAGTGTCGACACGGCTTTACTTGGTAAACAAGACAAGTTCCAAGGCCCGGAGTCGATATTATCGCGCTCGGTAGTAGAGCAGCTAACGACTTGCCTACGTGATCGTTGCCCGCCTATAAAAGGGTCGCGTCTCTCTAGCGTCAGTGTCTGTCTCTCGTAGCAATTTCGTGTGTGAACATCGTTCGTTTTTACTTAAAACGCAATTTCCATTATTCTAGTTATTTATACCTGTCATTTATCGATCGTTGTTAACCACGACGTTACCGATACGCCTCGACATTCTGAACGTCGCAAAAGTGAGGTTAAGTAACAACCGGCATTCGGGAGAGATCGTCAGTCGGTGACAGTGAGCGGTTATATTTTACGTCGAATCATTGAAGCCGACATTTCCTACGGGTGGAGGACCCCCCTGTTCCACCAGGACGTCGGATTTCGAGAGTAAACAGAAGGGGGCGAAAATGTGGCTAAAAGTGCTCAGACAGAATATAACGCATTTTGCCCGTAGGGCGAAAGGTAAGGTCACGTTTAGTTCCTTGAAACATGAGGCAAGAAGGGGAAACGGCGCGTCCGTTACGAATACAGGTTATTTATAGATTTACGATGATTATAAGTTAAGACGACGTCATATACGTCATATACGAAGTTTACGATCGGTGACGAATGGAATTTATGCAGTTTAAGTAAAGGCTTTCGCGCGTATCCCTAGGTAATTCTATCCTCGAATTAGGCTGCATTCTAATTTAAGCCCGTCTCGCGTTTCGCGGTCTTTCGGAGAAGAGAATTGTGGAATGTACGGTGACGATGCTCCGTTGCAGCTGCATGACTCACGCAGCTGCTTCAGCAGAACGTATCCGGTCTTTTGCATTGTTCCAAGTTTGTTCACCCCTCGGAAAAATCGTGCAAACTGTGCGACTTTAGTTCGATGTTTACTTGGCGCCGCGTGATTTCGTGTAGTTGCATTCGTCGCGATACGCGTATGCGTCGTAACGTTCAGTTTCTGCATAGCAGCAGTCAAGTGTTAAAAAACGGAAAATTGTTATTTTAAATTTGCTAATTATAACACATAATCACCATCGTACTCAGAAAGCAATTACACATAACGTTATAGGTAAATTTTTGCAAATTTTAACGATCTTTCGTACTGGACGCGTTTTACGTAGTAACGTCCGTTTCGACCGACGTGACCGTAGTCATGTCCGTCTTTTCACGTGAAACCTTGAAAGCGAGATGCGACGCCAAAGGATATTTCGGTGTTCCATTCGACTTGTTATCAACCTATTGTTAATTTCAACGTGAAAACCTGTAGCAGTTGTAGATTATATACATCGCATACTGTGTCGCAATCTGTCAACATCTGTGTTTTATATATGGCTAAGCCGGTGCACAATCTATCCCCCCATTCCGAATAAAATTTTTTTCTCTACCACCTTGAAAGTTGCATTCCAAGTTTCGGTATCCCTCGCGGGATCCTTCTGCCGAGGTTTAAGCTTCCGTTTCTAATTCTGGAGAAAGTTCGAAATCTTCTCGATGTTTTCGACGAGCGCGCGGAGTGATGGATGCACCACGTGACCCGGCTCGCGGTACAGAAAGCATCCTCACCATTCTAGCCGTACGATCTAACCTAAACAGCCGTACGGATGTCACTTTCCCCTCTTTGGCATTCCTCGATATAGTCGGTGAAAAATGACGTGCGCGGTATCTAAACGTTCTCGATGAAGCTTCATTAGTGCATTTTACAAGTACGTTGATGCATTGATAACCAGGGTCACGTGGTGTTCTACGCGT